CTTCTCCCAGGTTAAAAAAACAACAACAACCTAATAATTTCCCATGTATCATAAATATTGCAGAAGCAAACTGCCACTTGTCAAAATTCAGTCAGAAGGCACATCTAATTGCAGAATATATTTTAGTAAGTGTTGAAAGCAGGACCCAACTATCCGGGGCTACCACAAGCAGGTATGCAAGTTGTGCACTGCACAAAGATGCCATGACATGGGGGGCACCAAACAATGGGAACAGTAGGGGAAGAAGCCCGTCCAGTTACTATTCCGTGTGCCTGCACATGTGCTGTAGAAGAAATGGGAGAATGAAGTACCGGGAAGCTACACGTGACATGACTTGATGCTCTGGTGGCAAAAAACCTTTTGCACAAAGGTCAGCAGCGGTCCTACAACTATCCAACTGACTCCTCCATACACATACATGCACACATAACCAGTGTTTCTATCTCACTGAACATGCCTCCATCCAATCCTGGATTGTAGCAAGATGTGGAAGGTTGTTTGACAGACATTCATGGCCAGAGAAAAGCAGGACTGATCTCAGAGTACTTACACAAAGGTGAAGATTGAAATGATGCCCACTGTCACAAGCAACTGCACTGAGATAATGCTATATACCTGGGAATCAACAAATAAAATGCATTTGTGTAGGAGTGAATTGCTTCAAACAGTCAGATATCCCTTCAATTAGTATACCACCGCAAGGACCTCCTTAGAACTACGTGCAATATTATACTAACAGCATGGAAGAGGAGAATTTGGCCTGCTGCAACCACTCTTTCTATTCCACTAACAGATATTATTGGATACAAATGCTCTGGCTGCAGACCAGAGTTTTCTTATCCTTGTCTCTTATCCTGGGGTCTTTTGGAATTCAGCTCCCATCAGTCCTATGCCAACAGCATGAGATTGTATGAGTTGTAGGCCTGAACATCTGGAGAACAGCAGACTGACTACCACTAAGAGGGGTGCAAACCTAGATGGCTATCCCCTATCATGCTCACCCAAAGAGAGAGCTAGGGATGCAGTTCCAAATAGCTTTTTGTCTCCCATGATATTTCAGTGGGGGCTCAGCTGCTGTTTCTTGAAATTCTGTGTTTTGGAATAAGCGCTTGAGAAGGGGAGCTATCCAAAATAAACCAAAAAACCAAAAAAAAAACCCCAAATGCAATCTGGTATAACAGTGTTTCTTGTTAATAATCGTGCTTCACTCCCTAACAGGAATTCCCAAACCTTTCAAGTACAGATGCCTAGATCCCTCCTGGTGATCACAGTTCATTTCTTTTCATCTTGCAGTGCAAGTCAAGATTTCTTGGTCTTGTACCAAAGACCATTTGAAACACTGAACTTCCCTGAACAAGCCTGTATATTGCTGTTATGTAAACTCAGAGTTTTCCAAAAGCAGCATTCAAGAAAGCAGTTTTCAACAAAACCTGTGCACGGTAAGTGCCTTCAGGTTACCTTGCGGATGAAGGTATGCCTCACTTTCTTATCATCCCAATCAGCAACATGGAAAGCACCATCCTCTCCCGAATGAACGATATAGCTGTCCCCTGCCAAGAAAGACAAGACATCATGACCCCGGGTATTTGTGCCATTCTGCAAAGGGGAAGGAGGAACAAGCCAGCAAGCTCCCCTCTCCTAAAGTGACGGGGCATTTTCAAAACTGGCACACCGTACACAGAGAGAGAGAGAGATACATACACAACACCATTTCTACAAAAGGCTCATAATAGTTCAAGGCCCCACTTTCACTCTGCCTCCAGCAACTCCTTGACTTCCATGACAGATTAATTTGTCTCATGCTCTCTTTGCATGGATCACAAGATTAGTTAGCACCAAATTATTGCCGGACACCTGCAGAAACTTCTTCCTTGCAAATTCTCTTCACATTGTGCAACTTGTTGCATTAAGTTCCTCATCAAAGGCCATTTTATCTCAAGGCCTTTGTCCTGAGAGACGGTGTGTTCCGAGTGTCAGTCCTTTAGTTCTTAGGAAACCGTTATGTTGTTTTAACATAAACCTCTTTCTTTCTCCACATTAAACACAAAATCACATCCTTTAATTTCACATTAACAAATCGGATTCTACTACTAACAAACTGGATTTTATTACTATTACTTCATGGTTCCGTGTTTAGAAATCGCTAAAACCAGTCAGAACATAATTGAGTAGTCAATACTAGTTTAATCAGTCTGACTGAAAAGGTACCTGGGTGATTAAAGGTTGGTAAGAGTTAATTAATTCCCACATAGTCATATTTAGATTGACATAAGTCATGCCAATCCACCCAACGAAATCCAGTTCCTCAATGCTGGAATTCAGTCTCATGCAAGGCAAGCAGAGGTATTAATAAGCTGAGATTAATTCTTTGTTTAATATAGAAAGATGGCTAAGACAAGTCAGTGCAAATTAAGCAGAGAAATAACCGGAGAGGAAACAGATACAGCAGTAGATGACACAATGTATTCTGCATAATTTGGGTCAACATGATGAAATTAAATATACAGACATATGATATACTACATAGATACCATGCCTGTTCTTCCCTTCTTTCCCCTCCCAAACATTTTCCTTATCTTGTTTCTTAGAACGCAAACTTTAGAATCAGATGCAGAAAGTCTCACATCTTTCCATATCTTTACTGCATTCTAAAATGGCCCTTTATAAGGATTAAGCCAGAACATCACATTTTAACTATGTCTGCTCTTAAAACTTGCAATTATGGAAGTTTCCACTTTTATGCCTTCTCTCCCCCTGCCACTCCCCAGTTAGTTAGCCCCCACACATTCTACTGCACATTCTAGGAAGAGAAAAAGAAGGAAAAGCTAAACGTTACCCAAGTTCATTGGTACTGTAGGCATAGGAGGAACTGGCTGGGGATACCCTCCTGGTTGGGAGTAGCCTCCAGTCTGTGGATACCCACCACCATAGGGTGGTGGTTGTGGATAGGCTCCAGGATATCCTCCCGCTGGTGGAGGATAGAGGGGGTTTCGATCTTCATAGCTTGGAGGAGCAGTGGGTTGTGACATGATGCCTCAGCACTGAAAAACAAAGAGGCATTTCTTTGTCAAGCATAACTTCCATAAAGGAACACCATCAGAATTTCCCTTCACACCCTTTGTATCCTGTTTATATAGCCTGACTTTCCGAGAATATCCCACAAAATGGCCTGCAGAGGGAGCCAACAGTAAACCATCAAAGTAAGCGGAGTAAGATTCTTGTAGGGGTTATGCAGTACAGTACTTGTGTTTGTCATGGTTTCCTGGCTCAGCATGGCCAGAGATGGCAACAGGGACCTCAAAAAAGGGGTTCTTCTCTGGTCCCGAGGCCTCCGGTGGGTCACAGCTGGATTCGGGGCTCATTCTCGAAATAAATGGTTTGTTCTGCACTGTCTAAATCTGAATGTGTTAAATAGGTTAGAGTGCAAAATATGAAGAAAGAGCAAATATACTTGAAGGCCCCACATTTTGGGGACTGGGACATGCCTATTAATCTCATTACAATCAACTCCCTATTTGCCAGAACAAAGGTAAAGTCTGTTACAGCCTGGCTTTGGTAGGAAGGCAAAGTCTTCAGTTTCCTTCACAACAGATTTTACTAACTACAATGGGGGTGGGGGGGGGAGAGGGAAGGGGAAGAGCATGAAACCCAAGCACACTAATATGACAAAACAGGGACATGCAAATAGTCACCTGTTTGTTCGCCTGGGACAAGCCAGAACAACATCCTGAAAGTTAAGGAGAGCTCAGATTTTCATGCAAGTCACATGGCTGCCTTCAGCTAGGGGGAAAGGGAAGAATGGAACGATCCAATGGCTGCATTCTTCTGCACCCTCTCTCCTTCCTACCACTTTGCAAGCATCAAGGCAACAGCCACACATAGCCTCTTCATTCCAAATGCTATGTGCTGATCACTCTGGCAGCATGGAATACAGCCATCTTAAAACAGAGGCTCAGCTTCAAGCAACCCCCTATCTGTGGCATGAACATGCCATATCCTCATGATGAGGCTTTCATCTCATCCCCAGACCGTAGCTGAAATAGCTTCACCTTGACCTTAGCTATTCCAGTTTTAAAGCAGTGGTTTTCCTCTTCTCTCAACACAATTTTAACCGTGGACGTGATCCGGCACATCTGGAGATCCAGTTTAGTATAGTGATAAGGCACCAGGCTAGAAACTAGGAGACTCTGAGTTCTAGTCCTGCCTTAGGCATGATTCAGCTTGAGCCAGTCACTCTTTCTGCACCCTAGGAAGCAGGCAAGGGCAAACCAATTCTGAAATCTTGTCAAGAAAACTGCAGGGACTAGTCCAGCCACACACACATGATCCAGCACACTTTACCAAAAATATGGTTGCTGATGTGGCCAGAGATTGAAATCTGCCTAGCAACCATTGGTGACTTTAGGCCTTTCTCCTCTGGTCACTGTTCTCATAATTATTTTGCACTGAACTACAGGAGATACTGACTTCTGCCAATGCCTTGCCTACATAATGACTGGTGCTTTGGCAGGTCTTATGCAAGCTCCTTATAAACATCAGTTTAGAGCTCTTTCGAAAGAGCATTAGACCTGTTTTTTAAAAAAAATTGTTAATGTCATGATGACCAACACACTGTTACCCATCAGCCAGGTTAATTTCTTAACCCAAGTTTAGCTTCAGAAGAGCACTAAAGCTATGTTCAGAAATAGTCCTACTGACAAGTCAGAGGTGTAGGAGAGCTCCATACCTGCAGTCTGATCATCAGGCAACTTTGGAGTCCCTGTGGATTGAAGAAGTACGCAAAACGCCTCAAATAAACAGAAAAAAAACAAATGTGGGATTCTAAGCACCTGCCTACCCTTGCCTGGTTCTATGTTAGAGAAAGTGTTAGGTGGTTGTTTTTCTGCTGGCAAGCGATGCTTTGTAGGGGGATAAATGAATCAGGGGAATCCACCAATCATTTTCCTAATCTTCGTCCCACATTAAATCACTAAGGACAGCATCAGTGTGTTCTCGTGGCAGAATAACAATAGGCAATGAGGGCAGCATAACACGTGCCAGCACTTGCTGGCAGTTCCAGGAATGAAGAATAGCCCTTGAATGGGATTGCCTGGTTTTGCCCATTTGGAATACTATGTCCCAGCTGGCCAGATCTGAGTTCTCTGTCTTCTTCCTATTAGGTTAGGGAAGGACGACCTTTGTGAACCATGGACCACACTTAACGTTTCCAAGATGGGGAAGGCTCAGTGGTTGGGATGGCATCACATGCAGGGAGGGTTAGGTTTGGGGGTGGATTTGGGGGAATTCTTTTTCCTTTTTCATTGTGATATGCATATTGTAACCACTGATGATGATGATGATGATTAAAATTTATATGCCGCTTGATTCCAACAACTCTGGGTGGTTACAAATAAAAATGTTAAAATCAAGAAAAAAATACGATAGACAAAATGAGGAGTAAAGATGATGAGGATGACACACACACACACACACACACACAACAGACAGGGATGAAAAGAAGCAAACCCACAATCCAAAGGGGATCTCACCCATCCTCGCCAAAGCTTCTATTCTGTGTGCCTTTCATGTTCTTCCCTTGGGCGCTCTGATTCATGATCAAGGCTTTCAATTTCATTATAACTTCGATGACACTCAAGTCTGTTAGTCAAGTCTGCCAGTACTCTGTGGCCCTTGACAACAGTGTGTGGTCACCTGTGATGGAATTATCTTAGTAAGTTTTCCTAATTTTCACTGGTGGCTGTACTTGGGGCCCTCCCTAGAATTATTTTTTACTTTCCTCTGAGCATAGACCTCTATAGTTCCTTGTTCCAGGGTGTCCAAAATCTGAGCTTTAAAGACTTGGCCACACCATTCTAGAACTAGCTCCTTTCATCTCTGGAAACGCCATGGCCTTTAAAAGGGGTTTAAATACCCTTTTATTAATGGGTCCAGTGTGTGCTTTGGTTACCTACTCATATTTAGTTGACAGTGCCAAGTTATCACCTTTTAAATTTTAAATTATCATAGATGTAAATCCAGGGTGTTGTTTTAAACTCATTGCTGCATTGATTTATTCACTTGGTTCTGAGCTAACTTTATTGGACTGATTTGGAATTATTTTGTTGTATTTTTGTTTTCTGCCACATCTTGGTGAAGGAGAGGAGGAGGAGGGGGAGGGGAGAAGATCTGGATAAAAAATGAGGCAGGTGTAGATGGCTGATTTCAGGCTGCTGTTTCTTCTTGCTTAGTTGAAGTGCTGTTTGTGCTGGATTTTATCTTTGTATTATTATTCAGATGTCATTCTGAATGCCGGGAATGGGTGGAAGTTTTTTCTTCCTTAAGTAAGTGCTAAATGAAGCTAAATGAAGACAACAGGAAGACAGAACAGCCCGCTTTCACTGTTCCTATAGAAGCAGCCTAAGACAGAGCAGCACATTCAATCGTTTGAAATAGCTGGTAACATAAAGCAGAGAACTGGATATATGCATCTCTGGAAAAAACTGATTCCATAGGCTTCACTAAGTTGTTTTATTGCCACACGAGTTTGAGCCAACAGACTGCGCAGCAGCAGTCTATCTGAACAGTGAGATTCCATAGGAATAGCAGAAAAAAATGTAATTCCCCATTCCCTTCCTATCAGATCCAACATGGCAGTAACTCTTGTTTTACACCCACACGTGTGATCGGCCAAAATATAAAACAGTCCTCCTTCAGCATGTGTAGGGTGTAGTGCAGAAGATACTTAGCAGTCTTCCCTGAATAGATTTGCTAGGTATATGGCAGATTGTACTGCGGCAAAAGGAGAAGGGGACGGCAGATGGTTAGATAGCATCACTGAAGCAATGAGCATGAAACTGAGCAAACACAGGGAGGCAGTGAAGGACAGGAAGGCCTGGCGCAATATGGTTCATGGGGTCATGAAGAGTCAGACACAATTTAATGACTGAACAACAGCAGCAACTGCTCATATAACAACAATTGTGACCTTTGTTAAATGGTGGCAATTAGGAACTATCAACTGGGGCAGAGGGAAAGAACAAAGCACAGTCTCTGGATACGCCAGAAGCTGCAAGGAGTAACTTCTTCCCCTGTTAGCATATCTCAGGTTCCTAACTGGTCCTTTGGCATTAATGATTCATTTACTAGCTTATACAAATGTATATCTCATGTTGTCCTTTTTCTTTTGACAATGCTATAAAATGCTCAAAAAGTGCTATGCGTGCCCAGAACAGAGCACCTGGATGCACGATTTATTTATTTAATGAACTGAGAAGCCACCTTCCAGGAAAAAAGGCATCAGGTGTTCTTTAGTTATCACTGAACATTGTGTGATCACAGCAAAGAGAAGCCCAGTGACAAATCATGGTCTAGCTCAACCCAAATATATACTGCCTCAGGATCTACTCCCTAGTACAGTGTTTTTCAACCTTAGCAACTTTAAGATATGGGGACTTCAACTCCCAGAATCCCCTGGCCTCCATGGCTGGCTGGGGAATTCTGGGAGTTGAAGTCTACACATCTTAAAGTTGCCAAGGTTGAAAAACACTGCCCGAGTGGGACTATGCTCTAATAGATGTGGCATACATATGCAAGGGAATGAAGCTATCATTCCCGGGTCCTGTGTAGTGATTTGCCTGGAAACTGAATCACCTCAAGTGGGACATGAAGAAATTTTTAAGCTAAATTGGAAAAAAAAAGCTGATTCTTCTCCCTCACTTGCATCTATCTCAGAGCGTGGATAAGTTATCGTCTAAACCAAGGGTTCCCAATCTTTTTAGGCAAGTTTTACATTTCGAATTTAGGACATGTTATGGGCACTCACCTAAAATGGCTGCCATGGGAAGTTCAGTTATCTGCAACATGCTGGCCAGGTCCATAAAGGTAGCTCCTCTTACTCCTACTATCTCGCTCCTCACCCTCACTTGACCCTTGTCTTTTTTTTTTCCTGGCAGATGGGTACACTTCTTAACAAACCACTGAGCTACACTCATCTGCCACTGTTTTTAAAGCATGCCTAAGAGTGCTTTAAGTGATGCCAGTTATTGGGGCTTTGCCACATTCC